ACCAGCCTCCATGCTGCCCCACAGCCCTTCCCGGGCCGAGCCAGCCCTCCCGGTTTCAGCGACTTCTCCTCCCCACTCAGAGCTGCCTCTCACCCAGCAGCACCAGTTCCTCATCAGAAAACCCAGGAGACATTAGGGAGGCCTTTGGGGACGTGCTGGGCAGGTACGAGAGGGCAGCCACTTGCAAGCTCCAAGAAAGGCTCAACTGTGCCACCACAAAGTGACCAAGCGCTTATAAACCAGCCAGCCCTGACCTGAGGAGTCCCCAAGCTGAGGACAAACCTTGCTCATCGCAGCTGTGGCAGCTGGAGGAGCCTCCAAAGGACAGTTATGCTGCAGCAAGTGACAGCCTCATGGTCCCCCTCAAGCTCTGAACACCTCCCTGACCAGTCTTGTGTCCTCTCTTCCACACAAGTAACTGCCTAGCTTGCTGCAGAACGGAGAGGGGGAAAACCACACACAAAGCCATCATTACTTCTGCTTCATAAGCAAATGTCTAACTCAGGACTGCACAACCATTTTCTGTTGTCCCTTTCTGGAGAGGTGGCCTCACCCCAGGCCCCACTGCTGGGCTCCTCCTGTGGCAGCCATCACAGCTGCACACTCCAGTGGCCCCCACCAGCCTCTCCTGCTCCTCCTCTGCCAAACTCATCTCCTCCCCTCTGCAGCTGGGGCGCAGGATAAGGGCACCATGGCTCAGCGGAGCAGGGTGCTGCTGGAACCATCACCACACCAGCCCGAGACAGAGCAAGCTGCGGCATTTTTTAAACCCTGGGCCACGGTACCACAGCAGACACTGCTACAGCCCAGGCTATCCCAGCATCCACACGCTAAACTGCCCAGACGGAGCATCGTGAGAGCACACATCATGGAAACCCCTCGAGCTGCCAGCAGCACATTAGGAAGGAAGGGGATTAACACGAATACACCAAACAGGTCTGTAATGCAGGAGGCTGAGAGCAGGGTTAGAGTAGGTCTTGGGTCTCAGCACTTCCAGACAGTGAAGAACGGGGGTTTCATGCAGGGTGAACGGGGTGGACGAGAGACCAACACACCCAGGCACCTACTCACTGTTTTGGATAAGCCTTACTAAAACTCTAATACCTGATGCGATCACTGACCAACATGACAACTGCTATTCTTCAGAGTCTCCTGCAGAGATGCTTGGGGCTGCACAGACAGGGGAGTGAAGGTCATCTCATACCTTCCTGTACAGGGAGAGAGGCAGCTCCTACACCATAACGCCATAAGCAAGTTCCTGCTCCACACCTATTCACACGAGCCCCTAGGTGTGGGACAACACTCTCACTTGCATAAATCTTCATACCTTTAGGCCAAGACCACAGCCCAGTAGAACAAGCTGCTGCCAGTTACAAAAGAGGAAAATACTGAACAAACTGGGAGGTTCAAGAGAGGAAAAGCTGGTTCAGAGAAGACAGATTTAGTGTAAAAATAAATGTCATTTTTGCAGGAGGAAGGGTGGAATGGAGGAAGACAGTGCCAGGTGCTCCTACTGGCGCACTTTCCCTGGGACATAATTCCTATCAATAGTCTCCTCTTGCAGGAACATATGTAAGCAGCGCTCATTCTGTGCCAGTGGGTGTCCAGCAATTCTGGAAGAAAATCAGATGCGGAGGTTAGCACAGCCGCCCACCACAACCCCCACACCTCCGCTCCCTGTAGAGAGTAAGGGAGAGCTCCCTAACAGGCAGCCAGCTCCAAACACACCCACACCAGGCTCAGGCCAAGGTCACTGGATCAGTCTGCAACAGGGCCGGCAAGAGGTGCTTGAGCACAGGGCGTTCCCTCCCACACCAGAGCATCCTGAACCAACGCTATGCTGTCAGTGGGTCTCTGCAGCACAGCTGCTCTGCTAATATTTGCTTCACGCTCAGAAGAGAGTGTTGAACACAACCCACACTCAAAGCAGGACTTGCTTCAGAGCTGTGGTCTAATTACCTGGCTGCAGGCACCATCCTTTGGCACATCACCTGCATGCAGCAAATCAAAACTCCTTCCCAGGCAACCCCCAGCCCTCTTCTCCCAGCAGCAGCTGGAAAGGCAGCACACAGTAAACCCAGGACACCAAGCTTACTTGTTAATAAACTGTTCTAGTCCCTGTCTCCGCTCCTCAATGAAGGACTCCTCAAAGATGCCTTCGTCTCCTCGGAAGGGAAGCTGTCGTTTCAAAGCTTTTCCAGGCAGCGGTGGCACTACAATCTGAAAGCACAGAATCACCCTGTCAGCAGGACGGCCACTTGCAAGCGGACGTTCTTGGTCATCCAACACTCATCTCCAGCCCTATTACGTGGCCAGAGGTTGAGCCCCAACAGCTGCCCACCACCACAGCCTCTCTCTTCTGGGCAGCTCAAGATTATCGCTACAAATGTTCCCAAATGTCCTGGTTTCATGAACAGGCAGGGATGAGCCAGGCCTCACCTTACTGTCTCGTTCCAGCTCATTCTTCAGCCATTCAAAGTCACTGTATCGTCTCCTCACACACGACTCCTTCAATTTGAAGATTGGGAGGTTTGTCTGTAAAGAGCAGTAGTAGTTAATCTGCAGGTTACTTTGGAAGCCAGATAGGATTAAGATGTAACTGAAACCTAAGGCTGCATTTAGAAAACCAAGCCCCTCTGAGAAGGGGGCATGACGAGAACACCTAGCTTCTTTATTCAGGACAGAGCACAAGCACCAAAGCCCTCCAGAATCAAGCAAGCACTTTCCAGGCTACTCAGAGCCAGTCGCTCCCTCCCCCTCAAGTGAGTATTTCAGGAACACACCCCATCCCAGGGGCACATGCTGGAACCAGGCCTTACAACGCAGAGAAGGCTGATTTTTCTTCCCCTGAGTTCACTCCATTTTGAAGTGATCTACAAGAGAGCTTCACTGCAGAGCAAAAGAACCTCTGACTCTACATTGGAGTTTCCATGGAAAAACTAAGGGAGGAAATCTTGTCCCAGCAACTGTCCAAGGCCAGACCTTATGCTACAATCTTCTCTCAGAACAGACTGCCCACCCTATAACAGGTAAGCAGCTTTTTCATATCTAGCTTGTGCCACTGGAGGAACGTGCAGCAATTCCTGACTGACGGCTACAGTAACTTCACCTTTACCCTATCGATGCAGCCTGAAAGGAACTGAGACAGCAAAACCAGACAAGCAGCACCCAGATGAACACAGATATTGCTGCAACATGTGTAACCATATGCTTATAAGGTCTGAGAGATAAATCCGGCTGCTTTCAAAGCACGTCCACAAGAGCTGGTTTCAGTGGGACTAAGAGATTCTCATTGCCAGGCACCCTTTGGCAGGTTGATGGAAACCAAGCACCAGAACAGAAAAAAGCAAACACCCAATTCTTCTGAAATGCAGTGGAGACTTAGCAGTTAAATCACACTATGAACAGAAGTCAACATCAGCACCATAACATATGCTAAAGGTAGCTTGTTTCAGGGGAAGCTCAATTTTACTTCTTCCAGCCAGCAGATGCAGAGCTGTGACGAGATCCTCAGTTCAGCTTGGCGACTGCTGAGTGAAGAGAATCCTTCAAGTGTTCAATGCACATTCCTGGGCCAAGGACTCTTCGTAAAGTGATCAAGCTGACTCAGAAGGGGTGGCTAGACTGCACTGTGACCAGGTCCCAAGATACTGCTAGCTACTTTTCCTCCCCTGCTTAAGATAATCAGCTGCACGCAGTTACACCGTGCTCAGCAACCACCCCAACAGTACCCAGGTCCCAGGCTGGGGGCTCCAGCGAGGGGACAGAAGCAGAGTCTGCTGAGGTAGCACCCTCCTTGTCCTTGTGCATACCAGGGCTCCGACAAACCCACCAGCTGCGAGCGCCCTGACCTTGAGCCCCGGCCCGCCCGAGAGCGGCAGGCAAGCTGCCAGCCCCTGCCCAGCGCTGCCCGGCTGCCAGGGCCGGGGCTCAGCTCCTCACCAAGCACAGCCCCGGCCTGGCTACCCCGAGCCCCAGGAGCTACGCCCGGGCTGCCAGGGGCCGCCCTCACCGGGCTCCCTACGCACCCACCCGACCAGAGCAGTGCGACCACCTCGGCCCGCCCCGGCACCGCGCACTGCCGCCCCTCAGTGCGCCGTACACCCGGCCACCCCAGCCCCGCGG